AGAAGAGAAGGAGCATGGGGTTGCCTTGATGGGTCACTGTCAGGCACCGTGCATCCTCTTCCTTCTCCTTGAGCAGAGGCTGAGCTGGAGACAGTGCTGGGCAGAACACGCCCTCCCATCCTTGCTTGCTGTCATTGCTGCCTCCCCAGCTGGCCAGGATCACGCTGTAAATATTTAGAGTGGCATTAAGAAAGAAAAAGGAGAATTTCTCCTTCCTCATCCAGAGAACATTAGCTACCCAAACAAAACACCCTCTCTCTTTCTTTCTCTCTCTGTATGCATACACTCTCGATGCAGCCCGTTTCGACGATGGATGCAGCTTTTGCTTCTGGCTCAGGCTCTTTGCTGCCTGCTTAGTTCTGCCTTTTCTTGGCAGAGACTGTGGATTATTTTTTTTAACCCTTAAAGAAACAAACAATGCTCTCTGACTTCACTGCTGACACTGCTTTATGGGGTTGAGGAAGGGTAGGTGGCATGTTCATGTATTTTAGACACAGATAAATGTGGCATTTATTTAGAAGATCCCAGGCTTGAGAGTTTTGCTGGGTTATGCAAACTCCTGCTAGCGTGAAGTACATCATGTGCTGTTTAACAAGCTTACTGCTCTCGGGGGGGTGCTGCTCCCTGCTCAGTCCCCATGCAGGTCCCTGCCAACTTGGGGCCGAGGCTCCCCAGCTGCCTGCTGCACAGCTCTCCTCTTTCCTTCCCAGAACTTATGGTTTCCTTCAATCAAATGGAGATACTTAGCTAAGATTTCCTTTATAAATAAACTAAATGTTATTTTTCATGGCATATCCTATAATGGCTGGCCCTGTATGGATCCTGCTGCTGCAGCATACCTCAGAATTTAGTGTATTTTTCCTCATTACCTCTGGCAAGAGAGAGAAGAGCCTTTTCTTCTGTGAGTCTGTGTAACTTGTCTAAGAACGCCTGCTTCTGAGTGAATCTTTGAGGCGGGTTCCTTGAGTGAGCATGCCGGTCACTGAGCCAGGTCCACAAAGCTTCAGTGGTCCTTGTTTTGGGTGATGGGATATTGCGTTAACCACAGAGCAAGATATTGCATGGATAATGGATAGCAGGCTGAACACCATGTGCAAATGGAGAAGTGGGCTTGTTTGCAGGTTGTTTCACTTATTGGCATTGTGAAGCGCAGTGCTGCATGTCCCCCATGCCCCTGATGGAGGTTGGAGCCACTGGGAGATGATAAAAACACGAAACCTCAGCAGCCTCTGGCTTATGAGTGGGCAATTTCCAGAACATGGAAATGTCTAGCAAGGAATGAGCACTCTACTGCTTTTGAGCATTCACCCTGTTTCTTCTGCTCTCTCTCAAGTGTTTAGAATTGCTCTATTTTGGGATTAGGACGGCTGAATCTTTGATCTGACCCAGAGCACATCTTCTTATGTTTTAGTGTAATGGGATGATGAAATGCCTATTATCATGCACTAAGCAGCAGAGTGGAAAAAAGCTGTAATCTAATCAGCCAGCAGGCAGGTGCACAGAGAGGACTGGTGATGTCAGACAACTTCTAAAACCCATATGCTGATCCTATTACCATTCAGGTGAAAATGAACAAATCTGGATACAGAGAAAGGACAGCTCAAAACAGAGAGTCCACTGAGCTTATACAGCACTACATGCTGCCCTGATGACTACCAGCCCCGGGTACCACTCCTCGCCCAAAATTTATAGTTTAAATAGGCAGAAGGACAAGAAAAATAATATTTCTTATTATGGTCTTATTAAAACTGGGAGACATAACTAAACCAATGCTTATCATTTCTCATTATAAAAAGAGATAATAAGAGGGATCACAATTAATCAGATGCTGTAGTTGGAGAGCACAAGGAGATGCCCCAGGCAGCAATGCCAGCCAGCTGTATTTTCAGCATCCAGTCCCGTTTGGGAAAGCAGCTGGCACTGCCCAGATACTGCCTGCACTGGCAGTGTGGAGTTTGGTTGGTGGGCACCTGACGTCATTTTGCTTCTTACAAGCTGGAGGGGAGAAAAATATGTGAACAGAAAGGAAGACTAGTTATATGGGGAATTATTATATTTATGTGTTGCATGGAAATAAATATAATTTATATGCATAGTGAAATAAAGAACAAAGACGTATCTACAGAAGCAAATTAGAATCAAGAGGTAGCAAGGACCCTTCTGCTCAACACGTATGTCTGAAACTAATCAGCTGATAGCACAAGGATACCTAATTCCACGTGTGATGTCTGGGCCAGACCCGTCAAGGAAAAGTTTCCTTATATCCAAAGCATCCTCCCCATGTCTTGTCCATGTTCAGCCTGAGCCGAGTATAGATTCACTATTTGGCTCGCTAAATCGAGAAAATAGGCCTTTGATCCTGTCCTCCTCTAGCTTGCTGGTTTACAGCTTAGGTTCACTGAAAGCAGCAAAATACACCAAGCCAGCAAATAGCAGAGAAGATATTGAAAAGAAAACAGAATCCAGTGTGAATATAGGGAATTTGTGGACAATTGCCTGTGACAATAAGATGTGTTACTTCAGGCAAGAGAAATACAACAGCTATTTCACATGGTACTGCCAGGTGTGGTCTCTGGCTCACAAAATACTGAATTCTCCTGGAGTCATTGGAAAATCTAGGTTGGAGGGACCCTGGGAGACCAGCTAGCAGGTCTACCCTCTATATTAGATCAAGTTGCTCAGAGAATCTTGTTGGATTTTGGAGATCTTGAAAGATAGGCACACAACGTCTCTGAGAAATCTGTTCCAATGCTGAACCACTCTCCTGGAGAAGTTCTATTTAATGTCCTTCAGACAAGAAATTATTTTGTTGTGATTTGTGACAGCTGCCTCTTTGTCGCAGAGAAATCTGCTAACTTTCTTTTGCCAGCACTAGCTTTCAACTGTCTGGTCTTTTTCCACCTTTGTGACTCTTCTCTCATTTCTCTATTAACTATTGCATTACTCATTTTCTGTTTATCTTTTCAGTAAGCGTGGTTCCACCAAGTGCCCAACCACCTCTGCTGTCACTCCCATTGGTATGATACTTAGTCCTGAACTAGGGCTTAGTTTAAGACTTGATGGGGTCTGAATTTAGTTCTGATTTAGAGGCTGAGTAATGGACGCATCTGTAGATACTGGTCTTGGAATCTGAACTCATATTTTGAACCTGTGACCTGAACTTCTGGTAGAGAGGCATGGGAACAAGTTTTGCAGCTTTGAAGACACAGAGCAACTTCACAGATGTCACCGCCATCACTGTATGCATTGTGTACAGACAGATAGATAAATATAGCATATAATTCAGTAATGACTTTGCCCCAGTATGTGTGGGTGTGAAGATGTGTGGGCTTCTGGCTTGGTTTCAGGCCAATCTCTAATTAAAGAGAGAAAGATTAAGATGAAAGTGATTGTACTCTTCCTTCTGTAGTTAGAATGACTTGTTAGCATTAATTAAAACAGTCTTCAGGCAAAAATAAATTTGGCTGCCAAAGTTATGCGCTTCACATTAAATAAGTACATAGCTGGGTTTAAAGGATGCTGAAGGGTGCTAGAGGTTTCACAGAAATCAATCCTATGGCTTCGGGCACTCCTCCTTGAATATTTTAAAACAAATCCTTTGCCTAAACCAGCTCCTTCATGCACATTTCAGACAACTGCTGGCTTTTTCTTCCAAGTACATCATTTGAGAACTGGTACCTGCCAGCTTATCTTGGACAGAACATACAGTGTGACCTCTGAGGTATAAAATATCACCAGGAACATTGGACACCTAAGTAGATTATTCATGTATCCTATCTATGGTTTCTGGTTACAAGAGACTCGTGGCAACAATATCAAGGAGGTACCCACATCCCACACTGCCCCACTTTCTGGGTCTGAAAATTAAAGACATAAAGTCAAATCCAGAATCATATGGCTCATTTCAGATTCAGTATTTTCCTCTGATATTTTTATGTTGCTAGAAATGTAGTCAAAGGTGGATCAGACCTCTAAAATGCCGGGATATCCTGTTACACCTGTGAGGTACACAGATCCTAAAGCCTCCTGTCTTTCTCACTGTCCATTTATTTTGCCCACCACCTTTACAGACTGTAACTGGATGTCTGAATACTACCATTGTGACATACAGAGAGAAACAAATCCAAGTCTTCAGAAATACTATTTTCAATGGGAAATAGTTGACAAAATTCCTCAGAAGAAGTGAGTCTGAAAGATCCTTTCATAGTGTGCTGCACTCAGAAGCGGGAAGTTACCAAATGCAGAGAAAAGCTCATAAGCCCATCTTCTTGACCCAGACTATTTCTTCTTGTTTGTCAGACTCTCTCATGTTATTTTATATCTCTATCTTCTGTCCCAATTATAGAATTTCAGGATAATTCAGGATGGAAGGGACCTTAGGTGGTTTCTTGTCCGACCAAAAGCAAGGTTAGCCATGAGATCAAACCACATTGCTCAAGGGTTTTATCCAGGTGGGTCTCTGAAACCTCCAAGGATGGAGATTGTGAACTGCCCTGAGATCCATGTCTACCGTTGTAGGACAAGTATGTCCATGATGGATAGATCCACCTTATGAAATCCCATCTCTTCCACAGACGTTTTTCTGTGCCGTATCTCAGGTGATAGTGCCAATGTAGGCTGCAATTTCTTATCTCCCTTATGGGATAACTTAGGAGATGAATAGACTTGAGAGGGAAACTCACAGACAGGGAAATCATTCCAACCTCCCCTGCTGACAGGAGGATTTTACTCAGGGCCTCACTTAAATCATTAATTCACAGCCTACGTGTTGTTTAAAGTGCTGTAATAATGGGCTGAGAAGCAATTACCACCTATTTTCTCTGGGCAGGACTGCATGGCATGACATTGCACCCCTCACACTGGCGAAAAACACAGGGAAAGAACAAGGAAAATCTTAAGAACAGCAGTAAATCTTAAGAAAGGCAGGAAGTCTACACAGAAGAAATGACAGAAAATAAAAATTCTTCCACATACGCAGACATAAAGAGGACAATTTAGACTTAGTTTTTTAACACGTCTTTATTGCTTAAGGACATTTGATGAGATAGCCATAACATAAACCTCACGTCCAGCTTTACTTGGCAGCATCTTTCCCAGCTGGAAAGAAAATAAATTGGATTTTTTTCTTTGTGCAAATGCCACATTTTTTGGATGCTGTTTTGGAAGCTGATCAAGAGGTGGCTGCTCAGCATGCCTCTTCATTCTTGATGGCCGTTTAGTGCAAAATAGCCAGAAGCAACTTTCTGAAGTCCCCAGAGGTATCGGATCGGACAGCTTCAGTTAATGACTTCTTGTACATTTCCTGGAACTTCCCCTTTATTGCTGGAAGGTCACTCTGAGAAGACACCAAGAGCCTCTTTAGAAGAGTGGGTCATGCTTTGTACCATGCGCCCTGCTCCTACCAGGACCCCTGAGGTCTGATTCAAGGTCCACTGCAGCCAGTGGAAGAAGAGGAGAAAACAGGAGGCTCAAACATCTTGGAGGACCTTGGAGTTCTTATTAGGACTTGAGGTAAGCCCATGTGAGGTGGTGTGGTGAGGGGACACTAGCTGTGAAAAGGGGAATGGGCATGCTGGGGTGGCAAGGGGCATCTCTACCTGGTGCTCAGTGGTGCTGTGTGGACACACTATGTGGTGGCAAGAAGGAAAAGGAGCATTTCCAGGGGTATGTACAAAAGATGGAGTATAACAGACAGTTTGGTTTTGTTCCACTCACAGAGGTAATTTTCTGGTTACTATAAGGGGGAGAATGAAATGCCTTGTCTCAAGCTTTCTGGTGAAAAGGAACCCACTGCACAGTTCTGATCTTTATTGGGGTCTTTAAGTGTTTTCTTGATTGAACTGTATCTCAATGAAGAGACTACATTGGAGACTGATTTTTCACAGTTGATTATTGAGAAATATGCTCTCCATGCCCATGTGAACAATTCCTCTTCTGCATCAAGACTGAAACAGCCCCGAGGTTATAATCTCAACAGTTTATAAAGTAGGAAGAATTAAATACTATGTTCAGAATCTCAAATGTCTTTTTCAATTTTGTTCTTTTTAAAATTACAGTTATCTCCTTTGGCTCTTTATTTTTCTTTCCTCCTTCCCATCTGCTTTTCCTAGCTGGAATCAGAAAGAATTGGCAACATATATTTATAAGCAATTATTAATGTGAGAACTGCTGCTTTATAATTACTTAACTAGGAATTTACTTTTACACATCTTATTGGGCCAGGAACTCCCCACAGGCCTTTTTATCCAGGTACAATTGACTCTACTATAGGCTTTCTGTATGCTTGCTCGTCCTTTCAAAACCAGAAATAGATGCCATACCAAAATTAGCATTGCCTCGGTACAAAAGCAGAGTGTGACCACTGATGTCATTGGGCTGTATGGGGTTGGCTCAGCACACGATCCACCAGATCTCACTCTGAACTCTCTAAATTTGTATTTCTCGCAGAACTGGTGGTACTATAGTATTGCAGATTGCAGGATAACCTACCTCAGCCCTGGTCACAAGGATGCGAATCAAGGTATCTTCATCGGTCCCAGCTCCTTTCATTGACTTGTGCAGAAGTGTTGCAAAGTAACCCGGACAGTCTTTGGCACAGCTGACTGAAGAACAGTAAGAGACTTCATTACACTTGCATATTTACACTTTGTATTACATCTTCAATCAGAAGGAAATAAGTAAGGAAGAAATACAGAAAACTCTCTAGAGTTATGATCATGTAGACATATGAGCTGGGAGAATTTTTATTTTATAACTAGTTCCCTGTCCACATACAAGGAGCAAGTTTGGAATCTGAATGGAGTCATACATTTCTCCAGAGGGAAAGTTTATTACACAGTGAAATGGTAAACATTGACTCCACTGCTATTCCACAGTGAAAGTGAAATGAATGGGGATGAGCATTTGCCCATCTGGAGGTCTCCTTGATGATACGTTTAGTATGTCCAGGCCTGGGACACCCAACTCAAGAAAAATATGGAGCTATTGGTGTGGGTCCAGAGGAGGCCATGAAGAAGATGAAAGAGCTGGAGCACCTTTCTTATGAAGAATGGTAGAGAGAGATGGACTTGTTTAGCTTGGAGAAGAGAAGGCTCCTGGGAGACCTCACCGCAGACTTCTAGTATGTGGAGGGAGCTCATGAACAGGAGGCAGACCAACATTTACACGGTCTGATAGTGACAGGCCAACAGGAGATGGCTTTAAACTAAAAGAGTTGAGATTTAAGTTAGATCTTAGTAAGAAATTTTGTACTCAGAGGGTGGTGATGGCCTGGCACAGGCTGCCCACAGAAGCTGTGGGTACCTGGAGGTGTTCAAGGCCAGGTTGGATGGAGCCCTGGGCAGCCTGAGCTGGTGGGGGAAGCCCTTCCCACCACAGGGAGTTGGGAGGGGATGTTCTTTAAAATCCTTTAAAACACAAGCCATTCTTTGATTTTATGACTCTATGACATATTCTTACAGTACTTGCTCACCTGCAGCTTAGAGGGGCAAGGTTTGGGAGCACCAAGATCCACACAGATAAAATCAATACCAGTAAGCTAACTAGATCCAGGGTACAGGTGTAAATACTGGTCACAGTCATCCCCAGTGCTAAATGGCCAATATGGACCCTGTACGTTTTTGCAGTAGTGTTGTAGCACACTGCTGATGATGCCCAGGCTGGAAGTTATTCACAACCATGGCCTCAGGGGCAGTTTAGAGAGGAAATAACCCAGCCTTGAGGAGGAGCTGTATCTGGAAAAATTTATTTTTAGTATCAGGGGCTCCACATCACTACTGAAACCTGTTTCTCCTTTTACTAGCAGATACGTCAGTTTCAGTTTAGGGTTACCTCAATAACTGTCACCAAACTGTACAAAGATCCCCCAAGAACCAGTGTCAGAGGGCAAGAACTAGAAAAGAAAGGTCTCCATGCTTTTTTTTTTTGTTGTTGTTTTGTTTTGTTTTGTTACCGAGAGTAAGATAAGCTTTCTCCAGATCTCCTGATGTTTCACTTTTAATGGATTCTTCTATGTCTTTCCCATACACCTATAAGGACAACAAATGTAGCTGTAAGAGTTGCTCTTTGCACACATCACCGCACTGCCATAAAACCTGCCTTATGTTTAGGATCCAATGGCAAAAGACCAATTCAGATCCTTTTAGCTCTTTACAAGGGAGTAATTCAAGGACAAGTGAAGTCTTTCTCTGGTTTAAGTGCTCACAGATCCACTGGCACCAAGAAAACAGGGCGTACAAGGCCTGTTAGGACACAGCAGCTAGGAGATGGATAACATCAGTCAAGCAGTTGTACTCATATCAGAAGGCTTCTAGAACAAAGAAGCTTCAGCTTCTTCTTGAGTGACCTCGAGTCTAGGAAAAAGTCTCTGAGTTCCCTCTAATGCTTTTATCAAGGCCCTGGACAGTTTCCACACAAAGAAGATAAATTTTGGAGCTCTACCAGCTCTATGAAGTTTTGTTACTTATTGTCTTTGGCTTCCCAGGGAAAGTTTACAAGCACTTCAGTTGTTCCCAAGTTTTTGTATTATTCTGTAGAAAAAGGGAAAAAGAGACTGCCACTTCAAAACATTGTTCATTTTGATCTTTGTAAATGTTGTGAACCTCAAAGCCTTTTACTTTGCTGTTTTACTATCTGGCTGGCTCTGTGTGTCTCCAATGGACTTTAGCGCCGTTCCAGCAGAACACAGATACAAGGCAGCAATGGGTACCTTGTGAGGTTCTACAAATCCAATTTCATATTGATCTGTCTCTATTTATCTTTCCAAAAGTGAAGAAGGACTTATGTTTGCACGGCTCTAATCTGGGCCCCCTTTCTCAAATACAGCCGGACAGGATGCGGTAGATTCGTTTGGGCAACCTTCTTGGTTTTTGGAATCAAAAAGTGAAGGTAGCTTGGAACCCCCAGGGTATGGGCAACTCCAAGGGAGTATCAATTAGTGACTGTTTTTGTCCTCCTGCCAGCACCAAACCAAAAGCTGGATTAAGCTTCAAACATTTTTCCAACTAAGGGCTCCTTATTATGGTGACATTGAAAGAAGACTGTGACTGAAGGTTTTCCATCTTCAATGCTTAGGGTCACAGTTTTCTGATGAACTCAGAGTCATCCTAGGGAAGTTCAGATTTCTGAGCCAGAGGCTGGAGAGGAGCCTTCTCCAAAGAAAAAATATCACTGCTGAGCTTCCACCCAGCTGCTGGGAGAAGAACTTTGCATCTTCCACTGCTTGAACTTTCACAAGTCAAATAAACAGCCAAGATTTTGCTGCTTACTTTGTCTTTTGCTTGGGGGTAGAGGAGAGCACAGCAGTCCATGCACCTGCTGTCTGCTCAGAAGAGGAGATGTGCTTCTGCCTTAACAGAAGAGCTATGGATGAGTGCTTGGAGAGGATGGGAATAGGCACCCCCAGACACTCCAAGGTCTCATGAGTAAGCCAGGGACAGGCCCAGCATGCATTCACCCAGCTGTGTGCCACCTCACTACCCCAGAACAGTCAGCCCTCCTTCTGCAGGAAGGGCACACACATCATCATGCAGTTGTGGGACATCACAACTTTTGTTTGGTTGGATGCTGGTGGGTTATGAAAGGGAACACGCTCTGCTTAACTGGCTGATGGTACAGCTTTTTCCCTCCGTAAGATCAGCATCTGGTCATACAGAAATAATTTCCAAATTCCTTTTAAAATGGCAAATAAAGGATCACCTTCTCTACATTTTGCTGCAGGGTCTGCAAGCTACACATTACATTCTGCACAACTCACATCACAGAAGGGAATAACTCACCTTTTCGTAGGCCTGAAAAGTTGCTCTCAGCTGACTGTAGCTTCTCTTTGCTAAGACAACATTGAAAGCCAGCTCCTCTGTTCCCCAGCGGCCTTCTCCTGCCTTAGATATTGCATGTTAATTTTTGATGCATTTATTTATTGCCACATGCTCAGGGAACTTTGTCATCATCTCTCTGCTGAGCAGCACAACATAATTGTTTTTTTTCTTTCTGTAGTTTCACTTACTTTATATAGATCTGAGGCATCCTGCTCAGCAAGCTCTATGTTGACCTGTTGGTTCTCATCTCGGGTTGCCTATGGAAAAGGACATTACAGTGGAAAAAGAGACTCAAGTTCTGGTTAGTTTGTAGTGAAGGGAAAAGTGGTCACTTAGTGGCCTTCGCAAACATTTTGGTTTAGTTTTGCTGCCACCTGCTGACATCTGCTTAGTAATGGGCCACTGTACAGCACCGGATAGAACTGTCCAAGCTCAGCACAGACTTGAGGTGAAGCTTGCACATCAATCTGCTGCGTACTCCCTGAGAGCTGTGAAATGTTCCTCAGTAAATGGATATAATGCATGCTCTGAGCATTCACTAGCACTGTTTTTTTTTTCCTGATTGAAATTAGAAACAAATTATCTATTAAAAAATATATGGATAATACACATTTGCATCTCCTGAAAATACAGACCAAGAGGTTGAAGCAGTGCTTTCCAGACTGGTGTACTTAGCAGTGGGACTGTTAGGGCTTTGAAATGTGTCAAATCTTTTCATTTTCATGGGCTGTCTGGTCAGACTGTTGCATTTCTACTTGTGATCCTACTCTATTTAGCTATACTATGCCCTTACAGAAATGTTATTCATTTTTTATTTCACGTAGCTGGTTTAAAATAAAGCATGTTGTAATGCAAAATACGCTTTCCTTTTGCTAAGCTAACGTAACAGCAATCTCTTTCTTACTTCTTCTGTATCTACATGTATTGTAAATTCTTCAGTTGAGATTGAAATCAGATGCCACAGGTTTTAGAATTTAGTGTAATGTAGTCATGATCTTTCATGGGTACCATTCTATCCTGTGGGTTTTCAAAAAATGTGTAGATATGCCATTAAGGGGCATGGTTTACTGCATCAGGAATGGTGTTGCCAGCAGCAACAGGGCAGTGATTGTCCCCTGTACTCAGCTCTGGTGAGGCCGCACCTCAAGTTCTGTGTCCAGTTTTGGGCCCCTCACTGCAAGAAAGACATTGAGGCCCTGGAGCGGGTTCAGAGAAAGGCAACAAAGCTGGTGAGGGGTCTGGAGCACAGGGCTTATGAGGAGCAGCTGAAGGAGCTGGGATTGTTCAGTCTGGAGAAGAGGAGGCTCAGGGCAGACCTTATTGCTCTCTGTAACTACCTGAAGGGAGGCTGTAGTGAGCTGGGGGTCAGCCTCTTCTGTTGTGTAACTGGTGATAGGACTAAAGGGAATGGCTTCAAGCTGCACCAGGGGAGATTTAGGCTGGACGTTAGGAAATACTACTTCTCTGAAAGAGTGGTTGGGCACTGGAATGGGCTGCCCAGGGAGGTGGTGGAGTCACCAACCCTGGAGGTGTTCAAGGAACATTTGGATGTTGTGTTGAGGGACGTGGTTTAGTGAGAGCTATTGGTGATAGGTGGATGGTTGGACTGGGTGATCCTGTGGGTCTTTTCTAACCTTGGTGGTTCTGTGATTCCGTGAAATTATCAGAATTTTTAAAATTGCTACTGAATTGTCCTGAAGAATACCTTTAAGAATGTCTTTTGCTTGTGATAATTACTTTGTTATTAAATTACTTATTACAGTAATCTTATTCTAAATAGCAGCTAATACTTATTACGGTAGAGAAAAGAAAATCTCTCTTCCAGGTCGATGCATAGTAGCAAAGTTCACAGCCTCACCTCCAACACAGTGACCAATATCTTCCTCAGAGAACCACTTGTGTCACCTTTCACATCAGACTCCAGATCTTTATCAAAGACTGTGCAGGAAAAAAAGCAAATCTGTCAGGGTTCACTCAGTGATGAAGGCCTCAAATGAAGGTATATGAAATGCAACACTACTTACGCCGCTTGTATGCCTCCTTTATGTCTGTGATTTCCTAGGGAAATAAGAACATAAATCAACCAGCAAACAAGCAGACAAAGCAAGTCAGCTGCTGCACTGCTACCTAAGATACATCACATGCAAAATCTACCAGAATGTCCCAACCTTATTGTTTTGTGTGCAGAGGATCTCAATCAGCAGCGACTCATCAGTCCCGGCGCCCTTCATGGCCTTATGAAGCTCCCGGGCGTTATACTCGCAGGGAAGGTCCAGCAGAGCCAGCACAGCCTTTTCAAAATTGCCACTCAGGTCTCCCTTCAGGACCTTTTCCAAATCCTGCGAAGGCAGTTGGAAGGGTTAGTGCAAAAGTCCAAGTGGAATTAAAGAATTTTGTGATTTCAAAGCTTTTTCTGTACCAAAAAGGGAAAAAAATATGAAAAAAAAAAAAAAAAGGGATGCGGGGATCTTTTTGCATATTAAATTCTCCCCAAAATACTGAATGATCTTTTTCTCCTGTCTTCAACAATCAGCTGCTCACAGTCCAGTTTGGACTCTTCCTTGTTTAAATACATGTACACTACCATTTAAAAAACCTTACCAGAAGAATTTGCTCCAAAACACAGTGCAGAAACCTGCTTTGAAAGAGGTGCAACAGAACGGATCAAACTTCTCCCAGATTCTCTTCCACTTCTGGTTATAATTGACTTACTAGAAAAAGCAACATGTTTCTATAAAGTGCTTTGCATTTTTTTTCCACCAAAGGAAAAAAAAAAAAAAAAGAAAAAAGAAAGAAAAAGAAAAAAAAACCATAAAGATCCTTTCTGATTTTTTTTAATTCAAAAATTAATAAGACCCTGGAGAAGAGCTGGTTAGTGTTTATGTGTCAGCTGAGCACTCATGTTGAGAATAACATCTACCAATGATTTATTTCAAGCTCTTTCTTCAGCTAACATTTCCTGAAGTCCAGGAAGTATTTGACAGCTTCAGAACAACAGTGAAGAAGGCCAGTTCTACATCTACTGTTCTGAACTGTGCTCTTGCCCAACCACAGATGAGCTCCATCCCTTGAGCAAACAGCTGCCACCAGTCCCAGGGCGCTGGCATATCGCACTTCCTCTAGCAGTGTGCAGCTCTGCTCTTCCAAAGATCCAGGGTAGGAAGGGTTATGATGTGCCCACGTCACCAGGATGACCCCTGGACTTCGCCCATTTCCAATATCTGCTTTTATTAATCCTCATTAAAGAATGAACTCAGTGGTGTGTATGCACTCAAAGTCATGCTTGCTGCCTGGTCTCCAAGGGCTGCTTCGAGCACCTTTGGAGATTTCTCATTTTTTCAATGTGTGGTCTGACTCATCATGAGCATAAATCAATATTAAATCTATTTGACTCACAAAAATATAATGATAATGAAAATATAAAGACCAAAAAGTTCCTCTGAATTTGTACCTGGTCTGAGAGGGATTTAAATCTGAAGTTTCCCTTTTACTTTAATTGCATTTGTCTTGCAACTAATTGCAATTGCCTTGGTTTCAGGTTTCTTTTTTCTTTTCTAAATGCTCTGAACATGAGCACAAGCTGAGATACAGAGTCATTGAATTATCAAGGTTGGAAAGACCACTGAAAGATCACAGAATTATACAATTGGGTTGGAATGGACCTTGAGGATCATGAAGCTCCAACCTCATTGCAGCAGGCGGGGCCGCCAACCTCCACATTTAATACTAGACCAGGCTGCCCCAGGCCCCATCCAACCTGGCTTGGAACACCTCCAGGGACAGGGGCATCCATAACCTCTCTGGGAAGCCTGTTCCAGCAGGCTTTAGTATTTCAGAAGCAGAGGTGTATGAACTCCTTTATCAGCATGCATACTGTTCAAAAGAGAGAGGCCATTTATTCTGAAATACCTTGCCATAGAGAGCTTTGTACTTCTGTTTAATTTGTTGTCTCTCCTCTGATGTTCGACTTGACAAGACTTCAATAATTTTTTTTTCATCAGTTCCTGAAAAAGAAGGTTGAACATAGACAGGGTTTAATCAAGAATCCAATGCAGAGGAAAGAAAAGAGTACTGAGTGCTTTCCTCTTTAAAGAGAAACAAATCAATATACATACATCTACTCGGGCACACTTTGGGATTTGTAGCATCTGAGATTCTTCTGAGAATATATCAGTAGTCAGCTACAATGTTCAGAACATAAAAGATCACCTTCTTATGCTGCTTATATATTATCAGAGGACCTGAATCTTCTGTTTCTGATCAAGGTTCTGACACGCCAATGCCCATGGACTGACGTCCATGTTTAGAGTGGCACTTGCTGTTGGAGCAGTCCCTGCCACTATTTTCCACCCCTGCAATGCTTTTCAGCTGTGGCAACAGCATGGGGCAAGTGGCTGGGGAGGTGAGGATGTGTTCAAATCAGTCTCGTTTACTCACTGCCTTAATGGTGGTCAGTGCAAAACAGGTTGTCGTCTGTGCTAGATGATGGAGTCAGAAAGAGGAGAGGGAATTAGTCTTCATGGTCTGAATTTCTCTGCTGATGCTGTTTTGTTTGGCAAAAATAAGTGGGAGAATGCAGCCGCTGGGAAGTCCCAATGATGGGCACTGCAGGGGCTGTTTCTCTGGAAAGCCCACAGGGGAACTGACCACACAACGTCCTGCCATGGGAAAGTCCTGAAGAAGATTTGACCTGTAACTTATGCAACAGATAGATGCTTACTGAAGGCAATGACCTTGTCCTTGCACTTTTTTTGCCCTAAGCCAATATAAACAGATGTTTGCTCTAAACAAGGCAGCTGGAAGGCATCAGTTGATGTTTGTTGCTAATGGGACAGGACTACAGCAGTGCTATTTGGGTGCCTGAGTGACACAACAGAGCAGCAGCTACTGCATTAGCTTGTGTTCTGGTGCACTTCCATCTGTGGGGCCAATGACTTGCCTCAGGCATTTACTCAAGACAGGTATTGAATGTCTGGCTGGAGACATCTCTGGCCCTGACTGAGATGGGCATTGCCACAATGTCCATAGCATATAAAGGGTTTAAATGGCAGATGATATGCATCAAGCCTCAGGCCAGTGCTGCTGATGCACGTGTGTCATGCTGCTGGATGCTTTCTCATGGTCTTCTTTTCTATTTGTTGCTTTCATCTACTGGGCTTTGTTTTGTGCCTCATTGCAGGCTCTCAGGAGCAGAGACCAGCAAGTGTTTCAGAGAAACTATCAGTATGGATGATAAAAATAAAAATGTTATTGGCATTCAGCAGGAGCTGATGTATTTTCATCCTTGAAGATCACCAGTGGGTACATCCAGGCCAAGTTCAGGGCATCTTGTCCAGCTCTTCATGCTTGGAACCAAGATGATAGTCAGGGTCCAATTTTGAACGAACAGCATCTCTATTTGACAATGTGGAGTTAAACACTTAGTGGAGAGTCCTCTGGGACTGTCTTGATAGGGGTAACTTGACAGGACAAGAAGATTTCCTAAAATTCAAGTACTTTACTATTCAATCCTGAGTGTCAGTGCTATACCAGGAAGAAAGGTTTAAATATTTACTGGGCAAAAACCTGGTGGTAGAATAACTTAACATCTTCATCTGCTGCTCAGCTGTCCTTCCTCTGCTGGACATTGGCACCTCCATGGATCTGAGGATCCCATGGACACAGTGCATTCCTCATTCACACTGGTGCACAGTCAACCATCTTAAAACTGCCAGAGGAGATGGTGGGAGCCAATACATTTGGTTAAAAATCACTGAAGCAGGCTGACTGCTGACCATATTCCTTTCAGCTGGACTAGGCTCTACTATATGGAGGTGGCCATGTTTTTGGCTGGTCCCTGGGAAAGGATATACTGCCATGCCCTTAGCCTGGCCTTACTGGCTGGACTCCATGAATTCATATCAGCACGACAGCTTTGCGGTCCTGTCACATCAGCAAATAGCAAGTTTAGCCTGATCCTCTGTAGTCAAGCAGTTAACAAAACCAGTCTTTGAGGAACAAACTGGCTGCCTTTCCCAATTACCTTAACTCCATGTGTGTGCATGCTCTTTGAGTCAGTGACAGAAAGCATAAAGATTAAATGAAAATGGCTTAAACATTGTTCTTGAATATGGATATGCTCTTTATAATCTTGCAAATTGCCCTTTGCACAAAAAACAAAGAGCTTTCTTACCTGCTCCTTTGCAGGCACTGTGTAATTTCTTGGCATCTCGGTCTGCATCAAACCCATGATGACGGCGTTTGTCTGTTGACTGAGAAAACAGAGACACAATGGACACAAGGGAAATGACTTTGCATTATTCCTTTTGAATCACAGAAGTCTGGGCCGGGTTCTTGCCTGATCTTTAGTCACATCTTCTAAACTGTGAAGTTCAGATTGGGCTTTGCTGAAACACTGTCTATCACAAGGTCTCCTGGAATTGGAGCAAAAATAGCTGTTTCCACGTGGCATGTGATGCTGATCCTATGTAACTTTGCTCTGACAGTTCAGGCTTGTTCAAATAATCTGAATGTAATAACTTTATATTGGACAACTTCATGTCAGATCAAACACTGTTTGTTTGTACCACATTAAGAACAGGCCAATATAAATGACTTACCAGATGCGTGCAGAACCCTGTGTGTATTTAACTGCTAGAAGCTGACAGTCTCTATAGATTGAATAAAAATGGGCCCTGCATATCTTTCTTGAATGGATGTCCTTACACAAAGTAAATAAAGATATATAATGTCATAAAGATGGTGGTTGTATGTGTATGTGTTTGTGTGTGTGTACTGAACGTATGGTTACTTTGAGCCAGATCTATCAGGATCAAAGTCCACTACTACAGCAGCGGTTTATAGCCTGACACATAAATGTAAACAGAAAATCACTAATTTGTACTAATTTGACAGGGTATGAACCAAAGGGGCTGCAGTTCTGGTAGTCCCCTGTCCTGCTATTTCTCAGACAAGGGCAGAAGTATCTGGGAGCAGGCCAGCAACATATTCAGCCCTTGTAGCATCATGAATCAGATAATTTAAATGCCCAAGAGCTTAAATAATACTGGAAAATAGCTCCTAGGCTCCTAAATCAATTTGAACTATATGCACACCATCTGCTCTGAAGGTCTAAGTGTGCACTATAAGTGCTTTGGTATTTCCATTCAAATAGCAGCAGGTTGATTTGGCCATTTGTTTTGCAGGGCTGCCAGGCACTGCTGTTACTGAAGGGTGATGGCACCCAAAGGCAAAGCACTCTGCTCTCCATTAGGGACAGTTAAGGGTGAGGACATCCCAGGACATGGCATTCTGCTCCTAAGCCCTTCCAAAAATGCCACTCAGCAGAAAAGCTACATGGCTATGTTGTCTCCTTGCCCTAGAGGAGAGCACAGGGCAGAGATTACACCTGAAAAATGTCACAGACAAGGTCACTCTGTTGGGGTGAGGACAATTTACTATATGGACTTTGAACACGCTCTGCATTACCAGTTCTGATGAAAGAGATACAGCTCTGCATTAAGTCACCCTCTATCAAGAGACAAAGGGCCTTATCTCAAGGATAACCTCTAAATACAGTCCCTGTGTTACTTTCCCTTTGTAATAGACTAAACACCATTTAAGCACCTCGGCTTTTCTAATGCAGTCAGTGGCTAGGATTTCTCACTCAAATTATCTTAACTGAAAGTTATTATTTCAACAGCAATTATTAAGGTACAGGATCAACACAAAAGGTTCTCAGACTTATGGCACTGCAGTCTCACAAGGTAACACCTTCACCAGCCTGTTGTTGTCGCTTGTGAATGTGCACCCTGCACTGTGCTCTCAGTGGTTGCCAAAGCACATACACATTTTCCCAAACCTTTCCAGTGAGGAGCAGAATAAAGATATCCCACAAAAAACAGAAATCCATTCTGGACATACAGTCCGTCAGTTGAGTGTGCCTTGCAGAGAGGTGTCCTCCCTCCCTAACACCAACCTGATAACGCAAAGCATTTCAGCACTTCAGTCCATACTTTGACATAGGCTTGTTAGAGTTGTCAGAGTTCCTCCTATGCTTGGTAATGCACTGATAATTTCTTCCATTCATATCATGCACTTTGGAGCAATCCCAATGGGCACTGCAAGCTGGTTTGTTACTGTATGCCTCAATGGCTTTTCTGCTGTAGTGAGACTATAGCTAGTCCCTAGCCCCTGTATGTCACTTGTTGATGTAGCTGTTGGGTGTGTATAGCACAGACAGTAGGAGAACGGTAGCACCATCAACTGAAATAACATTGTGGGTTTATGAGAATTCATAAAGGCATAAAGTATTTATTTGCAAGGGTGAAGTATGGTGATGAGAAGGAAGGCCAGTTTCTCAACTACGTTCAGGATATGTTTGTTTTAAGGCACTACAAGAATGAGCTGTGTTGAAGCCACATCTTCAAATAAACCACTGTCAAATGTTAACTGATGACTCTGATGATATCACCTGTGTAGTACTGTGAGTAACACTAGCATTAAGGCTTTGTAGATTGGAAAGCTGATACTTTGGGTAGGAAACTGTCAAGGGCAATTCCTGAGTAACTCAGAACACCTTGGATAAATCTTGCTGTCTGCTGGGTCTCACCCAGTGGCATGGCCCACCCAGGCAGAGTGAGAATAGCTCCAGACCTGGGCTTCCTCCTGCCCTGCAGAACTATGGGTGCATTCTCCTGAAGAGTTAAATGGCAAAATAAACTGATGCTTCATGCAATTTGTGACACTGTATGCATTTTTCTTTGAAAAATACATGCACAGTCACTTTAATATATGTCTTGTTTTAGAATTTAAGCTCTCAGATTAGATTTGATTGGCAATGTCTTGCAAGTGTTGGTGCTGCAACTATTCTAAAACAACTAATTCTAACATGTAAAGCATACCAAGTTGTTTTTCCTGCTGTAAATAACATTTTACTTCAAGGAGATCATAGAAATACAGAATGGCCAGGGTTGAAAAGGACCACAGTGGCCATCTAGTTTCAACCCCCCTGCTGTGTGCAGGGTCACCAATCATCAGACCAGGCTGCCCAGAGCCACATCCAGCCTGGCTTTGAATGCCTCCAGGGATGGGGCATCCACAGCCTCCTTGGGCAACCTGTTCCAGTGCATCACCACCCTCTGTGTGAAGAACTTCCTCCTAATATCTAACCTAAACCTCCCCTGTCTCAGTTTAAAACCATTCCCCCTTGTCCTATCACTATTTATCACTATTCACCCTCGTAAACAGCCGTTCCCCCTCCTGTTTATACGCTCCCTTCAAGTACTGGAAGGCCACAATGAGGTCTCCCCGGAGTCTTCTCTTCCCTAAGCTAAACAAGCCCAGTTCCCTCAACCTTTCCTCATAGGAGAGGTGCTCCAGCCCTCTGATCATCTTAGTGGCCCGCCTCCAGTCTCGCTCTAAGGACTCCACGTTCTTCCTGCACTGGGGGCCCCAGGCCTGGTCGCAGTACTGCAGATGGTGCCTCACAAGAGCTGAGTAGAAGGGACAAGTTTATAGCTGAAGATGGTCCACAATGCTTAGAGAAGCATATGGAGACTTTTTTTGGTGTCAGCATGTGGAGGAATCCTTATGGTACACATAAATAGTACAATTGGAGGGATGTTGTAGTATACTGTGTAGATTTCTGAAGACAACAGCTAATAGCTTTCTGGAGGTAAAGACAATACATATACAAAAACTGCTAAGTTGTCAGAAGACAAGAACAGAAGGAATGCTGTCACGAGCATGCACACAGGTAGCTTCCTGTACTGCAAAAGAGAGACAAAGTACTCCAACTGAAAACAGCTGATAATATATCTGAGCAACCACCCCCAACCACTTAAGCAGATGCACAACCATGCTTGGGAGCAGAGGTTTATGGAAGAGTAATGTCAAAACAATACAAAGGGTGGCTGCAAGGGATGCTGCTGACCACGCTCTTCTCCCGCAGCTCCAACATCGATCAATGCAAAGTTGGGTACGGATAAATGCAGACACAGACCCCAAAGGCAAATCACTAGGAAGAGCCAGCAGGAATGCAGCTGCTGCTCAGTGTAATTGAGATACAGATGGAATTGCTGCGGGTAGAGCTCTAACATGGGCTGGATCAACTCAGAGATGTTGAGATATTTTCCAGCTCCATTGAAGTGAATTATTCAGCAGATGTCTTATTTCAAGATTGTCTTTGGTTGCTGTACTCCATTGCTCTTTGGCTTAACAAAAATAAAAATTAAAACTAAAATGAGAGGCTGCAAAAAGGTCAGACTGACCTAGCCAGGATCTTTGCAGCATTGACTACTGCACATGAACGTGGTCTGGAATAAAATCTAGGGCAGTATTCAGTTGTTGGTGTCTGGTGCCATTAGAGATACCTCGGGGTAAGCTCAATGCCAGCTGGAAATGCGCAGGCTGCTGTGTGACCTGCACCTGCAACTTGTTACAGATGGGTCTGAGGGCATCTGCAGTGTTTACTGGAAATTGGTACAGAATCAAGCCCCAGTTAATTTACTGGCTTTGTTATTCTTTCTGTGTATTTAATTACGATTATAAAAATGCATTGGAAAGAACCAAGATTTAAACAAGAATTACACAAACCAGTTCCACATGGAACTATACAAGCTTCCCTTGCCATCCAAGTCTTGCTTCCCACAAATTACCATCTGGTTTCAGACTGGTTTGAAAACTGGTGCTTGCAATTTCTGGATCAGCACAGGAACATCATGAGGATTCTCTGATGTCTGCCACGGGTTGAGGTCACACATCAGTCTTTTACTAAAGGAATTTCTAATACAGTTTCTCTCCTCTTTTAATTTTCATGAAACAAAACAGGCACGAAATAGCTTTGAGATTAAAACCTTGCTGGTAAATTTAGCTAAAAAAATTCCAATAGGTACAAATGTTTTTAGCTAGGTGTCCTGGTTCTGGCTGGAATAGAGTTGACTTTATTCCCAGTAGTCTGGATAGAGCCATGGTATGAATTTGTAACCAGCATAGTGCTGGTAACACTGATACATTAGCTGAGCAGTACTAGCATACACTCAAGGACTCTTCTGCTTCTCATGCAGCCTTCCCGGTGAGGAGGCTGGGATGGAACACAGCCAGCACAGCTGACTCCAACCATATTTCACACCATCTGACATGAATCTGTCAGGGGTTGCCATCTGAGGAGTGGCTGGGCATAGGTCAGCTGGTGGTGAACTGCCTTTTGTATCACTTGTTTCTTGTTTTGTTTGTTCCCAACCCCCTCTTTTTATTTTTAAACCTAAACCCA